GGTGGAAGCATCTAGGCTTGCAGAGATGTGCAAAAGTCTGAAAAGAAGAGGGAAAAGACGGGTGATGATCAATCCTCCGCTTTCGCGAACGCTGTTGCTGGTCAGTCTCTGCGGAAGCCGAGACCTCGGTTTTGCCACCGAAAACCCTTTACGGTAGTGGAATACATCCGTTTTCTTTGACCGTCCGATACCGTTACAACTAATAATACTGCAGTATTAGTACTGTACAGTAAACGACAAGGTAAGGTAGAGCTCGATAGAAGGTACTAATATGGCCGGCATCGAGAAAGAAGAACGATCTTCAACTACCTGTGCTACCTCTAACCGAAGCGCGGGAAGATCCTCACTCCATACACAAATGCATGTCCATAACAAAAGGACAGATTCGAGGTATGCCGAAATTCGCCGCTTGCTTCTTTGTGATTTTGTCCCTTCAGAGCAAGCCGTACAGGACGGACCCCTTGGACTATCGGGTCTCGATCAACAATGCGCGGACGCATGTCTGAAAGCGAAAGCCCGACATACTGCTTAACTTTGCCATTGACCTAAAAGGGCTGCGTCTCTGCGAGGTGATCTTTTGGCCAAAGACGGTATGCAATATTGATGCTAAAACCAGTGAATGCAGCGCGCCAAATAGAACCTGAGAGTATAACCAAAATCCTGTCAACTTCTGCATTATCAGGTGCGTACACTGAATAGATTGCAAAGTTCCGTATTATACAACACCAACCGTCATAGAGCGTTATGGTCATGTTGGTCGTAAGTTTGGCCGACTTTACGCTGCATCGCAAGCCATCTGAAACACCGCAGGACGCTTGGAGACGTCATCGAGAAGATGACTTGTACGAGCGTACGACTGACTGCGCGGCCTCTTTTTTCGTACCTTCTTAGTTACCTATTATTAGGCGTCACGGCGTCTGAATATTTCATCCTCTAGTAACTGCCACCACGACCGCGTCCTCTGCCTCTATGGCCTCCTCCACCTTGGCGTCCCCTACTTCCACCCTTACCAAAAGATTTCCCGCCACGATTGTTCATCCGTTGGTGTTCTGTTCGAGGTCCGGCTTTTAACCTCGCAGCAATATCCTCTTCGCTGGAATCGAATGCATTTTTGATTTGTAATAATTCGCAGAATGCTTTCGTCTGAGGATTGTTATACTCACGTGGTTGCTGAGATACTTTTGGAACTTGCGTTGGATCGTAAACTGGAGCTGTCAGCTCAAAGTTCTGTGGAATGACCATCTTCCCACTTTTAACAACGTTCTGTTCAATCCACTCCTCTTGCTCTATGATGAGTGATCTATAAGTGGCTTCGTCCTTAAGAGGAGGAACACGCGCGTCAGGATCTCCAAGCTGTAGTTCATTGGCAAATACTCGTGTGATCGCGAGCCATTCTTTGTCATACTCCAACTGGACTGGACTTTCGCCGTTTGGGCTTCCCTCAGATATACTGGCAATCTCGAGAATTTGGAGGAAGTTACGCCTCGGTAAGCATTTATCCAGAGCCAGAAAACGGGTAATATCGTTTGTGATATCCAGTGGTGGCGACTGTGGTTGTTGTCGTGGTGTTACGGCACTATCCGGATTTAGTGGATACGCAAACGATTCTGGTAATCGTGCTCGAATCTCCTCTGGAATATCACTACCCACGCTCGCGTCTTTCTTTTGGTCGGCGTTTACGTTCTTAACTGAATTACCTTCGTTGAGGGCTAATTCGATCTCATCTGGATCCGATATAATCTGGAATTTCTCGGGAATAGTGGGTTGGTTGGGCTCATCATCGTCCATCATGTCAAGGTCGATTTCGTCCTCGTTACGAAGGAAAACTTTGTTTGAGGATTCCTGTGGTGCCGGTGGAGCTCCTTTTGGCTGTCTTAACACGTTCCCGTGGTTAACCACAGCGGAGTATTTTATGTGTAAATGTGCGCTAAACCAATATGATGGACGAAGACGCTCGAGGACTTGTTTTGCGGCGATACTCCCAAGTTGTCCCTCCCTCGCGTCAGCTTCAAACAAGCTCTTTTTCCGAAAGAGGTCACGATAGTCACCTTTCCACTCTACACCTTGGGGCCAGTCATGGCTGATACCGACATCCACCTGAGTTCGAAGTTGTAACAATTTCCTCACATCCAGTTCTCGAACATGGTATGTGCTTTTAACATCATGAGAGCTGTATGGAAGTCTCTCATAGTGCGGTTTCCTATAGTTGTAGCCCTTCCAGATTCCACTGAGGCCAGCAATCCGTAATGGTCCTACTCGAATGACATTGGCTGCGCCCACATAGAAGATATTTGGGGCAACCCAGCCACCATAGTATAATTCCCAAAGGTGGTTACTCGCTTCATGATTCCCACCGACAAAAATTGTAAGGTAGGGAGCCTTGCGTGCACCGGAATAGTATTCATGAAAGTCGCCCATTTCGCGATATTTCATGGGTGCAGACATGCAATTCAGGTCGTATGCGTTCCGAACGGCCTATTCATGTTACTGTGTATTCGGGAGTTAAGTATAAGGTGGAAGTGCGTACCTGGAAATCCCCACCTATGATGAGAATATCAATTCCCGGCCATCCGTTGATTTCGCAGGTCTTGTCAATTGAAGCATAAATCGAGTCAAGTTTTCCGTGGCCCTAATACAAGAATTAGAATATACCTCAAGCTTTGAAATTGGTCGTACGAACGCAACCTTCCACAGCCACTCTAAGACTTCGGTTGTTACCCATCGTTGATATTGAAGCTCACACCGAAAGGTTGCGAAGTCACCAGATGCTAGGTAGAAATTGAATAGATATGCATGAATTTTTGTAGTAGAGCGGAGGTAGGAGCAACCCAGATTTTCTCTAAGTGATAGCTTAGTTAACGGTCAGCTTGCATTGCCGTAGATGTGAGGTGCAGCTCGGATTGAGTCATAGGAGATCCTGAAGCTTCAAGTTTCAATAATGCTAGATAATCACAAGCGAGACATTTCTTCATCTCAAATCTCACCACACGTCCTCCCGCCCCTTCATCTACTCCACCACTTATGATGTTTTTACCCTCCAATAAGGGATGATAATCATTCCTAGTGAATTATCCACCAATATGACATCTCCTGGGCCGAAGATCTCTTCTGAGGCAAAGAAACGCATGAATTTCCTGCATACTTCAGCACAATTTCTTGCATTTAGCTCCCCAGCCACCGCAGCTTTTTTGGGGTCTCAATGTGATCAGTACATTGAGACTAATAATATCACACTTAGGGATGATGAACATGAAGCGCGCCGAAGAGATACTTGCGGAGCTTGCGGTAATATCATAGTTTCCGGAGTGTCTAGTTCCATACACAAACGGACGATATCAGGACATCGGTTGAAAGATAATATGAGCTCAAAGAGTCCAAATCTACAAGGCCATCTTGGAACGAAGGCAACGAATGTACTGACTTATCAATGCCCCCGATGCAATCGAAACTATAGACAGGTATATCAGAGCATGGTGCCTAAGGCCACTAAGACGAGCTTGCCGACTACTCGTGTCCAGATGGAAGATGCACCAGGAAGGGTACAGTCTATTACGGAAGACCGCTTAGGTAGCAGCAATTCGGATATCTCGACTGCAACTACAGCCAATGCAAATAGTAAGAAGAGGGCTAAGGCGAGAAAGCAGGGAGGTCTGCAGGCTATGCTCGCGAAGAGCAAAAGTGATGCATCAAATTCAGGAGGAAGCTCCGGCTTTGGTCTAGGTTTCATGGATTTCATGAAAAAGTAATGAATTCCACGACAAAAGACCGTTAATTCCTCTTTCGGATACAGAGGGCATCGGATTTTTGAGCATACTCTAATGAAGGAGTCAAAACTATCAATCCGTAACGCATTCAGATACCTCTAAGAATTCTCAAGACTCACACTCAGTAAGAGTCAATCAGGTGTGGAGCTCACACCACATTATGGGGCTCTCATCCGGTTGTTCTACAGTACCGCTTTGAATGAAGGGGCCGGATGTCGGGCCGGAGGAGGTGTCTCTGTATCGGATGGGTCCTCCGATACTTGGGTCCACGGTGGGAAGGTCGGCTGACTGCTGTCTCCTTGCAACGTCCTCCTCACCGCTACCCTACCCTCTTCACCGAAGACGACGACAACGACACCACGCGAGGGCGTTTCCCCAACGCCTTTCTCCCAGGCCGAACAACAGGGCTCTTCATCTTCATTTTCATCGTCGGAGCGAGAGGACGACGATGGTGGTGGAGGAGGGAGAGGAGGGATGGGAGCAGGAGGAGCAGCAGCGGGAGGGAGGATGAGAGGCGTTGCTGTTGCTGCTGTTGCTGCTAATGCTGCTAATGCTGCTGCTACTGCAGCTGGTGGTGGTGCTGTTACATCGACACCCCCTTCCAAAAAGGGTTAGAGGTTAAACAAAAGGGAAAGTCGAATTAAGTATACCTTACACACCCACTTCCCGGTGGTCATAATATAGTATCCGGATTTTATTACAGATTTGAATGGTCAGGTACTGCTTCTGTGCTTCATATTCGTGCTCAGACACGTCTTCAGGTACGGCTTAAGATACGTGCTCAGTCAGATACGGCTTCAATTTCAGCTATACTAACGTTTAGATTTGGTACCATGAAATAATACTTTTATAGCTTTGCACGCCCTTGGCTCTTAAGGTTCCCAGCGAAAAGTTCGACTACCTCTTTTGGCTATAGTGTATTGTAATTAGCTATGGTTTTTAACTCTATCGCGAAATATATGTAAGCCCTGGTCGCGGACATTAGATAGAAAGAACTAGAACTCGTTCTTCTTGTTTCTAAAAGTGCTTGAATCCTCAAATCATTCTTAAATGGTTACTCCGTAAAAATCATGACACTTATTTTAAAATCATATCAGGTAATAGAACTAATAGATACTAATAAGAAAATTACCATCTCGAGTAGAGTAATTCCCAAGGCCTTATTGTTTCTACAGCAGGTACTATAGAAAAAGTTTGAGCAAACACCTAAAAAAAAATAAAATGAGAAAAAAATATTTCGGATACCGGGAGTCGAACCCGGCTCTACCCGGTGCAATCCATTATAAATGAAAGCGGGTGATGCTAACCGATACACCATATCCGATTAACGAGAGCAGATTTTTATTTACGCTTATAACTTTTCTGTGCAGTGACCCTGTTTACCTGACAATGTAATGTGCATGGCTAGTTCTTGGGACAAGCTAATCATTATTGTATACGTGTATAATCTTAATAATAGCTATTTATCGGGATAAATAACTCTAAATCTAGTAAAGTAGGGTCTAATATTTATATTTTCTTAATTTAACTTGTCACGGTTTGGTATTTACATACACACGTCCCGTGAACACGTGATCTTATCTCATCAGATAAGATCCCTTGGCATAACTGTCACGTCAACGATCCTTCGTAGCCTGTAGATAACTGTGACGATGTCACAGGTTATCATTTCCTACTTTCCCTTATTAATAGTAGTCGCGCCGAGGTTCTACCGCTACGTGCTTTATACTAGTGGATCGCGCGATAATAACTTTTTCTTTCCTTAACTTAATCTCTTTACCTGTAGTTAGGTTATACTAGTTGCAATCCAATTCGATTCTCCACAGCCGCTACGCCGTCACAATAACCAGTTCTAATATATTCGTTAATACTCAATATTGTTAGTTTATCTACTATGTTGACGTGCCCTTACATAACTTTATTTAATATTTTTCTATAAAAGCGAGCGATATTAATGTTACGGCCACAAGTTGTAAGAACATGCAGTTGTCGAGTGAGGGGAAGGGAGAAGGACCACTCGGGGAAACTGCGGGTGACTCTAGCGAGCAGGGTCACGTGACTTGGACGTTTGGACGTTCGGTCGTGGGAGGCGACCATACGACCGAACGACCACTAAATTGAACTGTGAAGGATAGGAATATTTAAGGACGGTCTTTCCCTCATGTATTTAGATTCTTCGTAGTTATTCTCACCATCAATCTTACCCATAAGATTTGGATGTTACGGTCTTGAACTTGACTTCACTTGTTACGCTGTCTCTATACAGTACGTCTTGTCTCATTGTGAGCGTTACCTGAAGTCAAGGAGTCAGCAAGTTGTATCGTCAACTTGAAGTGCCTTTGTTATACGTATCCTATCACTTTGCCAAACCTACCCTAGTGGTTGACCACGTTAAGTGAGAAGCCAGGCGCGCTTCTAGACTTATCCTGTTCTGTCCCGATAAGTAAAGACTCCCGTTGTAACAATTAATTAATATATATTTGATTATATGTTTATTTTTAATTTATAGTCTATAAATATATAAATAATATTTTAGTATACATAATTATATACTAGTTTTAACTATTTATAAGGCTAGATAATTAGTATACCGTTCCGTAACAACTAGATAATTATTTAAATAGTAAAGAAATAATAGTTTCCTTTAATTTTCCTAGTAAGCTTTAAAGATTTAAAATAAGAACTAAAGATACTCTTCTTTTCTTAAGACTCTTTAAGACTGTCACAGCGAGTATCTTCGATACGTGGCATAGGTCAAAGCAGTACTCAATTGACTAAGAACAACAAGTTGAGGAGAGGACGCTATTTACAATCAGGGGAGAAATATATTCCTTTGCCAAGGCTCGGGCCGACTATCTATCCCGTGGTAGCCCGAGCCGCTGTTGCGATCATAGATCCAGATCGTGACAAAGACTATATCTAGTATACTATGCAATGTTATATGTACGTGCAGATGTACACCAATGCGAGGGGGAACCTTGAGCTGCACCTTCAATCGATAAGCGACACCCCACTACTAGCCCCACGTCAGGGCAAAAAAAGTTTTGTCGAAACCTAAGGTACCTAAGATTCGTCATACACCAGACCGTGAAGTGGTCCTTGCGGTCTTTCCATAGCATTCTGCAGAGTTATATTATATATACTTCCATTCCTCTCAAGTACCTTCCTCAGACCGGTCGTTAGCTACCTCCGCATAAGATTCCTAAAACCAAACAATGGCCGCGCACCACCACAGTTTGGCTCTGGACCTCTTTGAGGATATGAATAGGAAGGTGGAGGAGGCAAGTAAAGACTTCGCTGAAGGAGATGGAGATACAAAGATCGTCGAGGAAATAGAGAGCTTGTGCATGAACTGTCATGAGAACGTAGGTTCATCTTCCAAACAGACCGAAACAAAGGGTTGATCAAGATTTAGGGTACAACTAAACTGTTGCTGACCAAAATACCTTTCTTCCGAGAGATTGTGATAATGTCATTCGACTGTCCTTCTTGCAATTTCAAAAACTCGGAGGTACAACCAGCTGGTCAGATTCAAGAGAGGGGATCCAAGTATATATTCAAGGTGGAAAATGTTCAGGATATGAGTCGGCAGATTATCAAAAGCGATACCTGCATTCTCAGGATAGAGGAACTTGACCTCGAAATACCTCCTGGGCGAGGCCAGCTTTCGAACGTTGAAGGTATCATAAACATGGTTCAAAGCGATCTCAGCGAGAAACAAACCGAAAGGAAAGAAGTTGTCCCAGAGATCTATGAAAAACTCCAGATCGTTATAGGATCACTGGTCAAGATGGTATCTGGCGAGAACTTTCCATTTACTATCACTGTCGATGATCCTGCTGGAAACTCTTGGATTGAGCCGTCTACAAGCGATAAGAAGGGGAAGTACTCCCACGTTCATTATGCACGGAGGACGGAACAAAACGCTGCACTTGGCTTAGCCGATACTACTGGGGAAGAGAATGGAGGGACAATACGTCCGGAGTATCACGCTACCGAGCTATACCCACAATTGCCAGCTAACGCTGTCCCTACCGCTATGGACCAGGACCAAGACGAGATTGTGGAGAACCAAGTCTATAGTTTTCCAGCCAGTTGTCCGGGATGTACGAAGCACTGCGTTACGAACATGAAGATGGTTAACATTCCATACTTCAAACAAGTGGTGCTTATGAGCACAGTATGTGACCTTTGCGGATGTAAGTTATCCCAAGTTTGGATTTGAAAACAGACACTTATTGTGCTCATTTAGACCGGAGTAATGAGGTCAAAACCGGCGGAGAAGTGCCGGAAAAGGGACGCCGTATTGCCTTGAATGTTAGAAACCCGGAAGATCTCGCTAGAGACATACTGAAATCTGAGTCCTGCGCCATGCAGTGCCCGGAGCTCAATCTAAACGTCACACCTGGAACTCTTGGTGGCCGCTTTACCACTGTGGAGGGCCTCCTAACCCAAGTGCGGGACGATCTTAGGGCTTCAATCTTTGACACAGATGACGTTGAAGCAGTTGGAGGTGACTCTATGGATACGGGGACCAAAAAGAAGTGGCAAACATTCTTCTCTGAATTAACGAGTGCCATCGAGGGGAGAAAGGTGTTTACTATCATACTAGAAGATCCACTTGCGAGTAGTTATGTACAAAGCTACACTGCGCCCGATCCAGATAGTCAGCTCGAAGTCTCGGATTATGATAGGACCTGGGACGAGGAAGAGGATCTAGGCTTACATGACATCAAGGTGGAAGACTACGAGCAACCTGAAGCTGGCGAGAAGAAGACGGAAGAGACCACGGCTGAGAGATGATCAAACCTACGCTAAGCATACCTATGGGTGTTCTGCATTGCGCGTTGATGAAAGAGGTGGACGATGGCAATAACTTTACGTCTCAATCTCCCTCAGAGCATTTTCCAAAGGGCTTAACATCGCCGAGATTAGAAAGAGAAAGAGAAAGAGTCAAGAGTGGATTACCTACCAGTGCATTATGGAGCGTTATCGAATCATAGAGAGCATTGGGCGACCGTACGGATTTCCGTCTGATTATACTCTATTGGGAAATATCTGCATTTTTCGTCGAACGTCTTGGTCGTGAGATCAGTTCAGACTAATGCGGGGGCAGGGGAAGATGTCAAGTCTGAGCTGCAGAGCTGCAGTTGGACTTCCAACCCCTTGTTAGTAAGCATATTCAAGACGTTCCAACTAGGAAGCTTGCATGTTAGTAAGGTACTGAGCTAGCCTCAGCGACACCATAATGTCGCTGTTTACTGTTTCTCAGATGATAGCTACAGTTGCTGGAAATTTCAAACCCGCTGAATAGCATTTTTCGCTACCTTAGCTACGTCGAACAAGCCGACTGGATATGCACGTCTCCCACCTTAGAAATTACAGTGCGCTCTGACTAATGATGATGCCCTTTACACGAGGACTTTCTGATTCATTCCGCTAAAGGATTCGCATGTATAGTGACCTCTTGGATTGCGATTCTCTCTTTTGGCCTCCCTTTTGCATCGTTTGGAACTGCTTCTATGGCGTCTAGAACTTCCAATCCTCCAATAACCTTTCCAAAAACCGTGTTCTTCCCATCTAGATGAGGAGCGGCCGCATAGGTAATGAAGAATTGACTACCGTTGGTGTTGGGCCCCTTGTTAGCCATACTTAGTATGCCACGCGCATTGTGGCGAAGAGCAGGACGGAGCTCATCTTCGAATAAAGTTCCGTAAATCGATGTGCTGGTCTTGGACTTGGGGTCCGAAGCTGGAGAGCCGGTTTGGAAGATGAAATTCGGGATGTTGCGGTGGATTGGAGAGTTGTTGTACGCAGACGAGGCGCAGAGGGCCAAAAAATTCTGGGAGAGTTTGTTAGAGTACGGACTTTTAAAATAATCTGGGGTTGAAGTAGGTTCCTATATATATGTTTAAAGCAAACATTTTGTGTTGTACTCACCTCTGTTGTTTTTGGAACGCTTTCGCAGAATATTTCGCATTTGATATCACCGAGGTTGGTGTGAAGCTAAGGAGAGATAATATGTAATTAGCATGATGGGAACCTTGACTGAAGTGTGCTAAGCATTAAGTCATATTCATTATTTGATAAAGTAGAGTCAATGATGCTTCTACATAACGAGTTGCACCCAAGATGAGACCGTTGAGCTGCGATTGTACGAAAAATAGAAACTAGCCTTACCGTGACAGACATCGTGGAGGGCCAATATGGAGAATTGCATCTCCAAATTCGGAAATAATCCTCACAGTAAGTAGATCGCGGGACCAAGTAGCTGAAGAAGGATTACCCTACTGTGATACTGGCACTGACTGGCACGAACTGGCC